TGTAAGTACAATTTTTATTACAGAAATTGCTAGAGTACACAACACAGACTTCACACAAAGATTGTGTGGCCTGCAGAGCACAGTTTCTGAGGTTGCGAAGTCATGCACACATCTGCGCAGTCCACACAGCAGGGCCCCACAGAACGTCAGGAACTGATCCTCACATAAGGACAAAAAGGCCTCTCTCGTGTGACGAGGGTGAAGTCACTCTACTTTACCATATACTCTTTGAGGAAAATGCTATGTTTTATTTTACAGACAGGAACAAATAATTTGCCCAAGAGCTCTCTGCTGGTAGAGAACTGATATTGACTCTGTCAACCCGCATGTGAGTTTGGGATTCCTAACCACTGTCAACCTCCTTGAGTCATGAGATTTGGGACACCCCCAACCCTCATCCCAAGCCAATATTTGGTGAGATAAATCTGAAGACTTAGTGATAAGCAAACGACTCAAGTAGCTGCAGTTAGTGCCCTCATCTGAATTGTGAGGACAGGGAGCCACAGGCAAGTGACCTCAGCTGGCAGTGTGGTTTAGGTGGCCCTCTTGGGCACTGTTACTCATTTACTTCTGCCTGGTCAATGAACTAATTTGCCATGAATTTGCCTTCTTGTGTACGGTCATGTTCTCAGTGGCTTTAACTGGGAACTGTTGTTCAGAAGTGATACCCTGGCCAAAATACTGCCAGAAGAAAAAGATATGGGTTGGTCTGTGCTGACTGAGTCCAATGACCTAGAGGTATGTGAACCTTTTGGCCAACAATAGTTGGAATAAGGACAGGCTTTCCAAAATTTGAGGTCAGCACCTAGGATTCGAACTACAGGTTGGGACACCATGGTTTGAAACTCTGAAATGACCTTCAGCCCATAGATATACCTCCTGTGGACAATACATTTCATTGGGAGGTGATCTTTAAAACCAAAAATGTCATTCACTACAAGCACTAGTGTGATTTGCCGTTACTTGTACGACTGAGGGATGCGTTTAAGTTTCACTTACAGTTCAGAGAAAAGACAGAATCTTTGCCTTCTCCAAGGGGATTCTGAATTCTGTCCACAGACCCTCTCCAGGTATGGGGCCTCTCTGCCTGCTGACCTTTCATACACATCTATATCCACCTACCGGAATGCAAGCTCACTTTGAGCTTATAACTCACCTTCATACATCGGAAAGAACCTGCCTTCCTGTGGCTGCTTCCATCTGATCTTTAATTTGCTTTCCCCACCTCTGAAAACGTGTGCCGGTCATTGTACTAGAGGAGAGGGGCCATGAGAGTTGACAACACAGGAGCAACCACCACTGCAAACATCAAATGTTGCTTTTGGCCAAGTGGACTCTTGTGCTCACCTCTATGGGCAAGGTCATTGTGTTGTTGCTGCAAGCAAACAAAGATTCTAGTAACCAGTGCCTCCCTCATCCCCCAATGATCTTGGCAAATTTGTTTTCTTGAGCCTCTTTCATCTTATAAAAAATCAGATAAGCAGGGGCCTAGCACATTAGCCCAGGGGTTAATGTCCTTGCTTTGCATGTGCCAGAATCCCATATAGGCATCAATTCCTGTCCCAGCTGCTCACTTTCCATCCAGCTCCCTGATGGGGCCTGGGAAAGTAGTTGAGGATGGCCTAAAGCCTTGAGACACTGCATCCACATGGGAGACCCAAAAGAAGCTCCTGGCTTTGGATCGGCTGAGCTCTGGCCATTGCAGCTCTTGGGGAGTGAACCGGGGACTGAAGATCTTTCTTGTTTTATATCCTTCTGTGGATTTCCCTTTCCAATAAAAGTAAAATACATTTTAAAAAATGAAATAAGTAATACACCCTAACTCAAAAGCCTGTTGAGAAGATCAAATGAGACCTACACATAGAAGTTGCTTACTAACATAATCCAGTATTTTCTATGATTCTTCTTATGCTTGTCCTGGGCAGACCCAATGATAGCTATAGTTGGCTGCATCTAGTCCAGGGGTCATAGAATCTTACCAACACTGACCTTCTTGAAGTAATTTTCTTGGAGAGTGAGATTTCAATGAAGGCTACGAAATCCATTCAAAGAATACACTGGACATTTTGTTATTCAATAATTTTTGAGCTACCCCAGTCTTGAGTAAAACACCCTATATTTTGATATTTCCCTCTAAATGTTTGACAATTGGTAATTATTTTATCTCTTCTTTAGCTGCAGATCTTTTGGAAAGAAAAAGATGAAAGCAGAGCCCCAAATTCCCTTGAATAGTGAAGAAGATATATTACATTATGTCTTTTTTAAAAAGATTTATTTATTTTCATTGCAAAGTCAGATTTACAGAGAGAAGGAGAGACAGAAAAAAAATCCTGCATCAACTGGTTCACTCAGTGGACAGAGCTGAGGAGGTACAAAGCCAAGATCCAGGAGGTTCTTCCCAGTCTCCCACACAGGTACAGGGTCTCAAGGCTTTGGACCATCTTTTGCTGCTCTCCCAGGCCCCAAGCAGGAAACTGGAAGGAAAGTAGAGCAGCTAGAACAGAAACTGGTACCCATATGGGATTCTGGCATATGCAAGGCAAGGACTTTAGCCACTAGGCTTCTGTGCCAGGTCCAACACTATGTAAATAGTTTGTTCTTTATATAGCAGTAGCTTTAAACTATTTAATATTATATTCACATTTATATTCCTTCCCAGAAAAAATTTTCCATATGGTATTTAGAAAAAACATAACAAAATAGCAAGAGGCAAATGTGATTAGCACTATCAACTTTTTCTGCATTTGCTATTCACCTTACACATAATCAGAAATAAATGAACAATTTCTAGAAATGGTTCAGATTTAAAACTAAAAATAATCTTCAGAAAACTAAGTCCAAAGTTTATGAAGTTGGTTGGTCTTATAGTTCATGTTTGAACATGGTATCCATGAACAGCTACAATTCCATAAACATCTATAGCAAAACCTTAATTAGGCTCTATATGTTGTCCTCTTTGAGGAATTAAAGTCCCCTGTTGGTTTAAAGGGTGCCTCTAAGAGTAAAGACACTGTGTGGATGCAGAAGAAACTTTCTGAGTCCTGAGGGAAGGAGATAAAAATCTTCCCCTGTGCCTGCCCCGCTGCCCTGTTTGTTCCCTTTAGCCTCTGTACTCCCCAGACTCACAAAACCAGGACAGACTCTGCCTGGGCCAGACCTGAGAGTAGGGTAACCCCCCCCCCCAATTCTTGCTCACTTCCTCCTTCTGAAGAACTTGCTTTCCCTTAGTCACCAGTGCCCTATGGCAGGAGGGAAGTAGGCTGAGGTGAACTGTAGCTTCTGAGGAAAAGTGAAAGGAAGCGGTCTTCCTGTTTCATTTAGGGCCTAGACCGTCTACAGGCCCTAAAACAGCACCTGTGTTCCAGCGGGTTCTACTGTATCCTGAGTCAAAATGTCGGGTTTACACTATGAATTTGCTTTAGTTTCCTCTCTCTGCAACTGATTTTCTCACAGGGGGCTGATGCCTACGGAGGATGCAATTTGAAGATTTGGGATTCTGATATTGTATATTGGCCAGCATTTCTATTTGCTTTGCTTTGTTCTCACCCTTCCTAAGTGAACTCACTGCTAGCCTCCCTCTTTGATGCTCTGCAATGAGTTCTTTGTGTTTTTTTAATAATTTATTATTTTTTTAAAATAATGATTACATAGTTGAGCAGGGTGGGACGGATCAAGGTTTAGGGAAAACTGGGTGAATTCATTGCTTCCAAATTCACTATTTCTTCTTGTTGTTCCTGGGGCAAGGGGAGAGACAAAGGGGAAAACCACTCCTGACTTTCTGTACACCCCAGGACCCAGGGATGAGGAACCACAACCTCATATGAACCCAGAGTCTCAACGTGTACATATTCCTAGGGTTCTGTCCAGGTTTGGATAGTTCTGAAATGCTGCCGATCCAAGGATGATATCGCCCTCCCAATGTTGATAGGCTCCATTCATCCAAATTATTTGCTGTCATCGTTTGTTTGGGGTTGTTGTCCAGTTAGTTCTGTTCTTCTGCTACAGCACTAAATGTACAACAGGGCCAGTGTCCACTGCTCCACCTTTTTCATTAAGTAGGGCATGTTCTTGTTGGAGAGTCCAAGAAGCTGGGCCAGGTATTCCAAGCATCACCAGATCCTCCACCCCTGGGGCTCCAAACCTAACACCCCCTATTATGTGGGCCCTGGGACCCAGACCAGCAGACCCAAGCCCTGCTAGATTCCCCACCCGGGGCTCACAGAACCAACATCCACCTAAAAGGTGGGTGCCAGGATCTGGGCCAAGTGACCCACACACTACCCATTCCCCTGTCCCCGGGGCTCAGGAACCCATCCCCCACCACAGACTTGGGCCTCATTACTTGAGCCAATCTATCCTACCCCTGTCAGATCCCCTGTCCCTGGGATTCACGGACCTAGCTCCCACTGCAATGAGTTCTAATGATATGAAAGTTGGATTGAGGTCAATATTATTTTATTTAAAATAAGAAAATGGAAATCAAAGTGGAAACATGTTCTTAGTGATAGCAACAAAATGCTTTTCTCTTCATGAAGGTCTGAATATAACTGGAAATTTCATACAGCAATAAAAGTTAAGTCACACTTCCTAATAGATTTTAAAGCTAGCCTATTCTTGAATGTCACGAAATAACTTAAGTGAAATTTAACTGTGAGAGTGAGTCTCTTTAACATGGAAGAATTCAAGTATGAAGTTAATGTCATCACCCCACCTAAGTCCTATTGTCCCCAGCAACCCAACAGTTTGTGTCCGCTTTGCGGGTTCCCCTTTCTTCAGTTTAATTTCTCTGGATACCATCTGGTTAGTTCTCATAGCGCTTTAGAAGAGCGGTTTATTATTTAAATGACCATCTTCTCAAAAAACCAAATAAGAGTCACTTTTTTAACCATTCAAATGTGTTATCTCATTTTCATCAATCCTGCCCTGTAACAACTTAATGGTTCTAATTTGAATTTTCTCTTTCCTTTTGAATAATAGACTCTATCATCTTTATGTTGTAGGACAAAGGAGCACCACCATCACACACAGGGGAAAAATGTTCATTTGGGTATTAGCCCTGCTGATCCTCTGTTATTTTCTGTGGAATCATAAAGAACAAAAGATCACAGATATCACAAATAAGTATGTTTTCATCACCGGGTGTGATTCTGGCTTTGGAAACTTGGCAGCCAGAACTTTTGATAAAAAGGGATTTCGTGTAATTGCTGCTTGTCTGACTGAATCAGCATCAACAGCTTTAAAGGCAGAAGTGTCAGAGAGACTTCACACTGTGGTTCTGGATGTAACTGACCCAGAGAATGTCAAAAGGACTGCCCAGTGGGTGAAGGACCTAGTTGGGGAGAAAGGTAAGAAGCTGACTGTAGGGGCTGGGAGCTTAAGGGGAAGAAATGAAGGCAAAGTAAAACACATTCAACATGAAATGCCTTTCAAGAAAACATGTCTTAAATACCTGCTGTGTATTCACTAATGTTAGGATAGCTTCTAGAGGTTTCCAACTCACAGGCTGTCTGTGCACACTGGAGGCCCAGCCCACATAATGCCCACAACCTCCTGATCCAATGGGTCTATTGACTTCTCAGGATTTCTTCTAGCAAAGAGTATTCCTTCCACACATACAGCAAAGAAACTTGCTGTTAATCCATAGGAGGCTATGAAAGTAATTAGAAAACAACATCTGGATACCTGGGACTCATTTTTCACTACGAAGCAACACCAGAGCTTGTCCATTTTCAATGGGTAAAGTGGAAAAGGACTCAAGAACTTTGATCTAAGCAACAGAAGTCATGGTAGGGAAGTGACTCTCGTCACTCAGATCACTTCATTGCTGGATTGGAAGATCTTTAGTGACTCTTGACTCTGGATGAAAGATATTTCATGGATAAATATAATGGGGTTCACAAAAGAAAAAACGTGATTTTTCTCTACTAGATCTTCATTATGTGTTCAAAACTGTGAGGTTCAAGTGGAAGGGGGATTTTTTTAAATATTTACTTTACTTAGAGACAGATGTGGACAGAGGTCTTCCACGTGCCAGGTCACACTCCAAAGGGCTGAAGTGACCAAGATTTGGTCATACTGAAACCAGATCAGTCTGGGTCTCCCACACGGGTGGCCAGGACTTAAATACTTGAGGATCTCTCAGTGCCTGCTTAGGGACATTAGTGAGGAACTGGATCAGAAGCAGAGCAGCTGGTACTCAAACTATATTGCTCCACTGCTGGGAGCAGGCACTACAAGCAACAACTTACCCCGTTGCACCCATAATGCTGGCCCCTCCAGGCAGTGTTTTGATAAGGTTCTAGATGACTATAAGCATGCACATTTCAAACATCTTTTACGGTAGTAAATGTTTGCCATCATAAAACAAACCAAGTGAATGACTAATATTTTTTGCCAGAAACAAGTATGAAATAGATTGATACCATTCTTTTTCTCATATTCATTGAAAATGTTCTGTAACTTTGCCATCTAACAAGGTAGAAAAATTGTATCAAATTGCTCTACATTTAAAATTAAAAAGCAGAAATGTTCACTCACAGAGAATTAGTATTTGACAGTCTGAACCAGGACTGAGCAGAGTAACAGTGAGAATACTTTGCAGTAACAGAACTTCAGCAAGTTCAGCTTAGCTTGCCACTCTGTGCTGTCACTTCTCCAAACTGCAAGTTTTCAAAGCAATAAAATGACCTAAAGGAAGAAAGGGCATCGCTGTGAGGAACAGGAGTATATTTCCCTGAATGATGCTCTATCAGTGCTGTCTTCTACTATACTTCCTTTCTTTCCATTGCAGGTCTCTGGGGTCTCATCAACAATGCTGGTATCCTTGGAAGTTTGGCTCCCACAGACTGGCTGACAGTGGAGGACTACAGGGAACCTATTGAAGTGAACCTGTTTGGACTCATCAATGTGACACTCAATATGCTTCCCTTAGTGAAAAAAGCTCAAGGGAGGATTATCAATGTCTCCAGTGTTGGGGGTCGGGTTGCAATCTTTAGTGGAGGCTATGGTCCCTCCAAATATGCAGTGGAAGCCTTCAACGACAATTTAAGGTAAAGTAACAACTGGCTTATTAGAAATAACAACTGCTAACAATGTATTGAATGCTTAGAATGTATATGATGTTTCACTTAGTACTTCAAATTATTCCCAATTTATAAATACCACTGAAAATAAAAAATAGGTGACTATCCCAATTTCACCTATCTGATAAGTGTTAGAATTAATATTTGAACCCAAATATATTGAATTCACATACTTTTGCATTATTGCGTGATACTGATAGTGGTATTAACTTCATATTCAATAGATCAGTTTGTCCATAGAGAATCAAATAGAGAACCAGAAATCTGGGCAGGTCACAAAAGTTCTGTCTTACTTAAAACTCTAGTACAAAACTGAAACAGCTGTTCTATGTCTTCTGTCCAGGTTTCATAGCTTGTTTCAAGGGGAGAAAGAAAAAAAGTTTACTCCATCTCACCTGAAACCAGAATCTATCCCTGTCAATTCAAACCTCTTGAACTATAAGTTCAGTCAAGGATCCACCAGGAAGTGGTAGCATCTTTTGAAATTGGATAAAGGAAATAAAATTTACTTAAAGAACCGTTTACAAGTGTGAGAGGTATATAGGGAAACTCCCAGGTATATTTAGTATTTAAGGACAAATGATAGCAGGCACATTAACATTCATAAAATTGAGGGCCCAAGATATAGGGAAGTTTCTAGAACCTGGAACGTAGAGAACAGTCACCTTCATTCAAGAGATGAAATAGGCAGTGCTGATATCATAGATACCTCAACTTTCTCCCCTTTCTATCTGACCAAGCAGTTAATACAATTCAGTCTCTTAGGATATGATGCAGACTTAAGGGACAGGAAAAACAAAGGAGAGCTATTCAACTGAATGATGCTGTGGAAGACAAGAGAGGGCAAAATTAGACACTGTATTTCTTTCAACTAATCCATTTATTTATTCAACTAGTATTTGTTGAAGGGTTTATGTTGTTGAACATGGATCTAGGAATAACTCTTTTGGGTAAATATTAAAATATTCCACTGAGGTTAATAAAGATAGGGCAACTCTATTTTGCTATTTAGCAGGTTTCCAAGTTTGTTTCTCCTTGGAAATAAAATAATATCAGAACAACATTTCTAAAACATTAATGTACATTTGAATTACATGTTATTTTCACAGCAGGGTGAGTAGTTACGTCTTCCTTAACACTCTCTTCCCATGGCTACTTCCAAGATCCAATAAAAATAAATAATAAATCTTTATTTAAAAATCTGACAATGAGGAATTCCTTTTGGAAAAGGAAACTAAATTTAGAAACTGATTGCCGATGTATTGGTTTCCAAAACATGGGTTTACTTTAAAGGAAGTGGAACCTTGTTTCTTCTAGAACCTGATAGCAAATGAGTAGGCTTTTGGTTTTCTGCAGCAATGTGATAAAACAAACAAACAAAAAACCTCACTCAAGGAACATGTTAATCAGATTAAGAATAATCACATTGGGTCCTTTGGCGTAGCCTCAGTCTTGCGGCAGTGTCTGCACATTCCAAGGATAGGGGTGAGCTTGCCCATCCAGGCAAGTCATTCGACATTTCACCATAAAGAACTTCAAGTACTGAAATCCATCTTTAATCAGAACGCTTGTCAATTCAGGAAAGAGAGGATCGTTTAGAATAGGGGCTGAGCCCACCCAAATCGCTTTCCTGTTCTGCCATTAAGCAACCCTCAATTCACCACAAGGCACTCAATTCTGATTCCATGAAAAGACTCATAAGAAGAAAATCATCTAAATAGCAAATGTCTTCCAAATATTAGGTCCAAATTGATCCCTGTCGGTGAACACACTAAAATAAGCGTGGATTCAACATTTCCCATGGGTTCTCTTCACAGACGGGACATGAAGGCTTTTGGTGTGCATGTCTCATGCATCGAACCAGGAATGTTCAAAACAGAAATATCTAATGCCTCAAAGGTAACTGAAAAACAACTCGCCATTTGGGAGCGTCTCTCTCCTGACATCAAACAGCAGTATGGAAACAGCTACATCGAAAGACGTGAGTTTCTCAGTACAAGCAACGTCCTCTTAAGTTTTTACCCTAAGTAGAATGCAGGCAACTCAAATGTAAATAAAACCTCAAAGTTTTTAGGAGGAGATACCAGTAGGATCTTAAAGATCTTCTCTGCATGTTTATAAGCAGTTAGTAAGAGCCAATTCCTGTATATGCACAGTATAAATTATATCATTGACTCCTCAGGAGAATTGGTGAATGAACAGAGACATAAGAAGGTGAAATACTCCACCAAGGTTATATAACTCCTCCTCGTTATGCCGGGACGTGTGCTGTAGCAGGCTGATTCTGGAATTTGGTTTCTACACATTCCTCCTCTTTTTGTTAATCATCAAACACTCGCTCATCATTGTTCAAGGATTCACACAGTTTACAAAAGATAGAGCAAGCTCAGGCTTTGGTTCTTACTAGCTCACAATGTAACTGACAATGAGAAAATACTCAATTGAGACCATAAGGTAGACTATATAGCATCCAAGAAACTGATCCTTCCTAATTGTACTTTATCAGTCCCAGAGTGGTGCTAAATTATGTGTCTCCTAATTGCCCAAGGAATTGAGACCAGGACAAGAAAAATGCTGTGTAAGAAGCTTTAATGAATCAGGTCAGGTTTGAACAAGGCCTAAAGGATAGGAAGGAATTAAGGTGGAGATGTTTTAGAACAGAAACATGGAGGAGGAGGATGGAGGGATAAAAATAAGCCAAAGTGTTGAGTCAGGAGTGGAGGGATAACAATAGAGATTAGACAGTGAAGACTGACATGCGCTGGACATTTGCTAGGTTCTTGTCACAATTCTAAATGCTTTAGTGAGCTCTCATTTTGAATCCCTTAAAGAGATGCAGCCTTTTAACACAGTGGTTAAGACATCACTTGAGGCACGCACATCGCAAGTCAGAGGGTCTAGATTCAAGTTCCAACTCTGCTCCCAGTTCCACCTTCCTGCTAATATACACCCTTGGCAGCAGCAGGTGGTGGTTCAAGCATGTGGCTCCCTGGTACCCACAAGGGAGAATGGGCACAGACTATGGCTCCCAGTTGGGAGTTAGCCTGACCCTAGCTGTTGTGGACATTTTGGGAATGAGCCAGGGGACGGGAGTACACTCTGTCTTCATGTTTCTGTCTCTTTCTGTGCCTTTCAAACAAAGAAAAAGAAAATTAGGGGGAAAAAAAAACTTTACCAAGAGACAGACTTCTATCACCTGCATTTTTCAAAAGCAGATTCATAAAAGTAGTAATTTGCCCAAAATTACAGACAGTAAGTGTAAAGAGCTAGACTTGCAGCCAGCCAAGCCTACTGCTATTCTTTCCTGGCCACTAAAATATAAACAAAGCATTGAAGATTTGGCCAGGCATCTTCATTCTGGACTCTAATCCCTCTCAAGCTGCCTGATCCTATTAAGGTTGCTTGGTAGCTCTTCAATGCTTAGTGAACTTCCACTTGACATTGAACAATGTGCCACCTCAGGGTACGTCACTCCATCCCTCTGAATTGTGAAAGTCTTTATCAGTGGAAATGCCAAGACAGACTATGGCAAGGCTGAAAGGCTGGAGTTCTCAAGGTAGAACCAAGAAACAAGCCAGAACCACATGGCAAGGTTTTAAATAACTGTCTTCCCGAACCATCATTACCCATCACATGTGCACACACACATATCCACTCACAGATGCATACTCACTATATGTAAATACATAAAATCATATATGTGTATGTATACATATCAAATTATTTTTTACTTACTCCCTGGCTCAGGTAGCCTGCTTCACAAATAACACGTTTTGGGTTCAATTTTATGGATTGTTCTTTTTGAGACACATATTTTTTAAGTTCTAGTTGACATACAGTAATTGTGCATGTTTATGGGGCCTGGTATGATGTTTTAATACATGTAATAATTTGAGCAGGGCATCTGTTATTTTAGATATTCATCATTTTTATGTGTTGAAACATTTAACATGCTAATTGTTTTGTGGGTTTTCTTTTGGATTTATTTTATTTCTTTGAAAGGTAGAATTAAAGAGAGATGGAGAGATAGAGAAAGGGAGAAAGATTTTCCATCTGCTGGCTCACTCCCCAAATGGCCACAAAGGCTAGGGCTGGGCCAAAGCAGGACCCATGATCTTCTGGGTCTTAGGAGTGAGTGCAGGGACCTGAAGTCTTTGACCATCTTTAACCACTTTCCCTGGAATATTAGTAGGGAGTAGGATCGAAAGTGGAGCAGGCAGGACTCGAACCAATACCCATTGGGAATGCCGATGTTGTAGGTGGTAGCTTTCCCCCCTACACCATAATGCTGTCTCTCAATTGTTAAACCTAGTTACATTATAATGCAATAAAACACTGCGAGTTACTCCTCCTACACTGAATGTTCTTACTATGATTCTTTCAAGTCAGAACTTGGAGATCAGCCAGATCCATAGTCCCAAAGTAAATTATTAAGATCACCTGTTTTCATTTCCCAGGCTGGAGTAGTAGGAATTAGAACAGCCACTGAGACTTACTAGATCATTTGAATAATTTGTGCTTAGTGTGGCCTATTTTTGAAAGGAAAATCTAAAATTACACATTTTTTCCTTGAAAAGATGTAATGATGTAACTCAGGGATGTTTTATGGGTCTACTTTGAATTTTCCTTAATATCTATCTATTTATTTATTTGAAATGCAGAGTGATAGAGAGGAAGAGACAGAGAGAAATAAAGAACTTGTAGTACTGAATCAGTTCCTGAAAATTTAGACAACAGCTGTGTCTGGGCCAGGCCGAAGCCAGGAGCCAGGACCTCCACCTGGGTTTCCTACAGAGATTCCTGGAGTCCAAGGACTCAGGCCAGCTTTGGTTACCTTCTGGGGTGCATTTAGCAGGACCTTAGATACAAAACACAATATCCAATGTCAGAAGTAGTGGCTTAACCCACTATGCCATAATTCTGAGCCCTCCTATGAATTCTTTGAGAAATCACCATACTATTTTCCACAGCAGCTACTTGAATTGACATTCCTACCAACAGTAGCAGTGTAGCCTGTCCTCCACTCCCTCATCAGGACTGCTACCTTCTGCCTTGACAGTCACTGTAACAAACGTGAGGTGATACTGTGATTTTACTTCCTTAATGATGAGTGATATTGAACATTTTATGTCTGTCCATCTTTCAGTCAGATGATCTCTCTTGAGTTGAATTTCTTATATATTTTAGATAGTAACCCCTCAATGTATGTATGATTTACAAATATTTTCTGCCATTCCTTAGGTTGTCTCCTCAGAGCCTTAACTGTCTCCTTTGCATTTTAGTTTGAGACAATTCCATTTGTCTGTTTGTCCTTTTGTTGCCCTGCATTTGGGGTCATATTTAAAATCACGTCTCAGACCCATGTCAACTAGTTTTTCCTCTTATGCTTTCTTCTAGCTGTGTTATAGTTTCAGATATTTTATTTAAGCCACTAATTCGTTACAAATTAATTTTCTTTGTGGTGTGAGTCAAGGGCCCTATTTCATTCTCCTGTTTATAGACATCCAGTTTCTCAACACCATTTTTGAAGGACTGGGGTTTCAAACCATTACCAGTCACTTCTAAAATACCCACCCTCCAAAGTTTTCTCAGCTCCTAACTCAAACATTCCATTTGTCTGTAAACTGGAGTGCACAGCTTCTTGAATTAAGGCATTTGGGGCTGTTTTCTGTGTGGATTTAGTGAGGAATGTGGTATGTGAGAGCATTTTTGCATCTACACAGGCACGCATACACATGCACTAATGCATGTATACACCCACATTCCTACATGCCCAGTGCTTATAGTCTCCCTAAAACAGATTAGGAATCAAGCTTATAACTTGTTAGACTTGGGGCCCTTATGCACTTGATGAGATATGATTTCCTCATTACTTTAAAGCAGTGATTCTCCAAGTTCAGTGTCTGAGTCTGCAGCATCAACTCTCTTGGAAACCCATTAAAACGGGAGCATTTGGGCTCTACTCCACTCTATTGGGTCAAAAACTCTGGAGATGGAACCCAGAATCACTCTGTAAGATTCTGCTTCCCACGCAAGACTGACAGCCACTGGTCTGAAGAAAGCACTGATGGATGCTTTTCTGTGGAATAGAAAGGCCCTCTCGGTGCACCTCGATTATAATGGCAAAGGCAAAATAAATTCCCTCACAGGCATTCTCCCCTTTGCACACTAGCCTCCCACTTCATCCTTTCCCTGGCTTTGAATACTATATGTGTTTCTGTCTCTTCTTACAGGTAGAACCAAACTGAAATTCAATTCAGCATTTTCAAACACGAATCTCTTCTTGGTGATACAGTGCATGGAGCACGCGTTGACAAGTCTCTTCCCTAAGACTCGCTATGCTGCTGGAAAAGATGCCAAGATTTTCTGGATCCCTCTGTCGTACATGCCAGCAGCTTTGCAAGACTTTCTAGTGCTGAAACACTCTGTGGAACTGGATAATCCCAAAGCAGTGTGAATAACCTGACCACAAACGCCTGCCCCGGGCTATGAGAGTCACTGATTGCAAGGGCACATCTCCTTTTTAATCACATTGGTGGCCTAACCTAACCCTGATTCACATGTTTATTTTGTTGAAAGAAGGTGCCCTACCAGCAATGGTGATACCCAGCGTCCCTTCTTTAGCTTTCATTGAGAAGGACAAGGAGACTGCATCACACCACCAAGTCCTACCCAACACCAAGGGTGTCACTACCTGGTATAATGCCAAGGCAATTCAAATATTTCCCCACCCAAAATCATTTGCATCACCACTTCCTTACAGAGTACCTCCTAAACACTTAATTTTGTCTCATCAAAATATTAAAAGACAGGTAACATACTTTTCTTGTTTTTTTTTTTTCCCATCCACTGGCTTACTCATCAAAATCTTGTAATGGCTAGGGCTGGGCCAAGGTGGGAGCTGGAAATTAAGAATGTATTTCAAGAGCTTCTTCTAGGACTGTCAGGTAGGTGCAAGGTCCCAAGGCTTTGGACTGTCCTCTACTGCTTACTCAGGTCCCAAACATGGAGCTGGATGGGAAGTGGAGCAGCCAGGATAAACCAGCACCCACCCATATGGGACCCCAGCAGATGTAAGGTGAGAACTTCAGCAACTAGGCTATCATGGTGGGCCCGGACTTTGGATTCTTAATCATTAGGCAAAATGTAAACTCCCAAACAAAAGAGAAATTCTGACCCATGCTACAGGGACAATTCTTGATAGCATTATTATAAGCCAATGGGGCTAGACACAAAGTGACAACATTCAGATTCCACTTGTATGAGGTGTCTAGATAGACAAATTCCTGGAGAAAGAAGGTTGATTGGTGGTTACTAGGGTCTTAGTGGAGAAGGTGATTGGGAATTGCAGACTAGTGGGGTATAGGCAGCTTGACAAGAGGAAGTAATTTTAGAGATGAACACAGCGATGGCCATATGAGAGTGAGTGCACCAAGTGTCACTAAGTTGCACACTGAAAACTTCAAAAGGCAAAGCTTATGTGTATTTTCCAATAATAAAAAGGACTATACACTGACACATGCCACAATGTAAATAAACCCTGAAAACCATACAAGGTGAAAGAAATCAGTCACATAAGGTCACACGTTCTATTATTGCATTTATACCTAATGTCCAGAACAGGCAAAACTACAGGAAAAAAAAACATATATGGTAGCAGTTAACAGAGCCTGGAGAAAGAAAGAAACTAGGAAGCAAGTAGCATGTGTGTCTAAGCAGATTTGATGAATTCTCTGAAGGACTAAAAATCTGGCCTGGTAAATCTTGTTGAGCATAGGAAAAGAAAGGATAATGAGCGTGATTCGGCACTGGTAGACTCTAAAGGCAGCAAGAAAACACTAGATGGAACCACAAGTGTCAGGGAACGAAAGGGCAGGAAAAGGAGGAAGAGGATCTCAAAGAAAGAATGTAGGTCTACACAGCTGGAACAAATCCCAAAGACTCCAAGGCCTGTTTTCCAGTCCTATATGGAATTATGCAGGATGAATGTCCTATTACAAGTCACTGCGAATATTGATGCATATAGTTTTCTGGTATAAAGAGGATAATAATAAACATCATTCCAAAAGCAGGAAAAGGTGGAGAATCTGTGTTTATTCTGGTGATCATAATAATAAAAAGACCGAGATGTGCAACTGATAGCTGAGTTTAGAAATGCTGCCTCTTACATGTTTCAGAAGACTCGTGACGATGGCTAAATTATCAGGCTCTCGGTAGCCTATACATTCAGTGAAATAAGGTCTGTGTCTTGCTCATATTCATGATTCTGAATTGAACTAACTCTGAGTTTCATTCCATCCAAAAGAGACAGTTTCTTACACAGGTCTTCCCCAGATTCCAACACTCACACAGGTTTGTGACTGTGCATGTGAGTAAGCCTGGTTAGCAGATTCAAACACTTTTTTTGCAGGATAAAAGAGCACAAGAAAAATGAGCTAAAATGGACGCTTACCGTGAAGAAAATGCTTGACAGTCACTGCTTAAAGTCATGTCCTCTTAAAACTAAAAAGAATTCTGTTCATTTTCATTCACCTTGCTGGGAACTTCTGTGTAAGAAGGAATTCCCTCCTTTCAAGTTCATAACATATTGATAACTGAAAAGTCAGATTACCAATGGCATGAAGCCACCCAGAAATATGGTTCATAATATTCAGGGAACGTATGTTCATCCTTTTTTTGGTCAAATTTTTCAAAACACAGCAGAATGAGAGAGAAGAATTCTCACCATGGTTAGGTAAACTATTGGCCTTTCCTATAGGTAAAGTCATCTCATCTCCACCCTAACCCCGCAGACATTTCCTGTGTACATCTCTGGTTTCTCAGGTGGCTATTAGCCACCTCATAGCCCATCTTTGGAGCTGAAACTCACAACCCTTGTTGGCTAGGGTCTCTCCTCAAGACAGCTTCACAGCTATGGTCCTCACAGCACTGTATTGGAATTTATAATATGCTGTAACTCCCTGACATTCCAGACCTCCTGGGGCTGCCAAAATTTTTAAACTTTGAGCGAAATTTCTTTCTAACTTCAAGTCATTCCAACCACATTCTCAGACTTAACTAATTGAATTACTTCCTGATTTGTCTTGACCTGACTTCTTTGCTCATGCCTTCAAAAAAGTACAATTTCATAATTTCTTGATTCACTCACTTTTTCCTTAAAAACAAATGCTGCCAAGTATTGTGTGACTCCAAAATGAAAACAAATACATCCACCCAAGTGACTCCCAAAGTTTTCTAAACTCATAAGAAGACACAGTGTTTGATATGTTGAGGCATAAGTTTGAACAAAGACACAGACCTGCAAAGCAGCAAGGAAAGAAAGCTGGGAGGGAGGGAGAATAACAGCAGGTTACTGGATCAGGCATCTCCAGGATGGATTCCTAGACATCTCTTTGATCTGTTGTCACATCTTAGTCTCTGTGCTCCTGGGAAAATAATTTTTTATCCATAAATATTTGAGGAAACAGGCATGGATGTTTAATCCAGAGGTTAAGACATCAGCTATGGTACCCATGTTTCACATAGGAGTTTGATGTCCAACCCCAGCTCCTTACTCCAGCTTCCCACTAATACAAACTAAAAGAACCAGCCAGTGATGGTCCCTATCACCCAAGAAAGAGACTGAGATGTCAAGTCCCCCAGTTCTGGCTTTAGCCAGCCCAGAGCCAATCATTACAGACGGGAACTAACTGCTTTGAAGAAAGAATTAGCAGACTGCTCTCCCTCCTTCCTTCTCTCTTCTTCCCTCCTGTTCCTCCCTCTCTTTCTCTCTCCCTCCTCCCTTACTCCCTCTATTCCTCACTCTCTTCCTCTCCCTCCATCCTTCCTCTCTCTCCTTCCTTTCTCCCTGCCTTTTTCTTTCCCTCTTTCTCTCCCTCCCTCTCCCTCACTCCTTCTCTTCCTCTCCCTCCTTCCTTCCTCTCTCTCCTTCCTTTCTCCCTGCCTTTTTCTTTCCCTCTCTCTCTTCCTCCCTCTCCCTCACTCCTTCTCTTCCTCTCCCTCTCCTTTCTCTCACTCTTCCTTCCTCTTTCTCTCTCCCCCCTTTCTCCTATCTTCCCACCCTCCTCTCTAAAATGAGTGAATGAATGAATGGACAAATAAAGAAAGTGTTCAGGGAAGTGTTATGTCATGGACCGTCTTCTAAGTGATGATCTACAGTCCTTTAGAATTGAATACATTTGGGCCCTGACACACGGTGGCCTAGCAGCTGAAGTTCTCGCCTTGCCTTTCTTGCACCAGTATCCCATATGGGCACTAGTTCTGGTCCCGGCAGCTCCACTTCCCATCCAGCTCCCTGCTTGTGGCCTGGGAAAGCAGTCGAGGATGGCCCAAAGCTTTGGGACCCTGCACCCATGTGGGAAACCCAGAAGAGGCTCCTGGATCCTGGCTTCAGATTGGTTCGGCATAGCATCAGCCGTTGCGCTCACTTGGGGAGTGATTCATTGGACAGAAGATCTTCCACTCTGTCTCTCCTCCTCTCTGTATTTCTGACTTTCCAAAAAATAATAAATCTTAAAAAAAAAAAAAAAAGAATACATTTAAAGGCTAAGACCAATACTCAGAATGCTCAGAGGAGCTTTTCCAGAATCTCAGGCCAAGAGCACGTGAGATGCTGTTTTCTACCACATCTAGCTGGAGGATCCTTCCTCGTTTAGTTTGGAAGGGCCAGGAGAATTTCTGAATCTTTTCCTGTGGTCTGACCTAAACATCCATCAGTGTCCTCTGTAGCTCTCTTGGGGCCTCTACAATACATTCAAATCTGGGTTTCTATCTCTCCCGTCCCCAACCCTCCACCCTGGTCAACCTGACCAAGGGAACTCCACGTCACTTCCTCTCTAGTGTGATCCTCTGTTGATGCTAAAGTCAGCTCTTGCCTCAATCAGAAAATTCACTTACACACCATTGGTGATTTCTCCGCATGACAGTCAGGATGGCTCAAAAATGAAAGCCGGCCATTCTATTCCACTCCCAACCACGTCTTTCTTCAACCCTTCAGTATGTTCCCTTTGCACTTGGGCCAAAGTGTAAAATGTGTTCAATACCTGACCCACATAACACCAATATGCCTCCTTAGTCACCAACCTGCTCACTTTGCTGCCTTGGGCCCAAGGACGTCCCTGAAAAGTTGCCATTCAGCCCAGCTCATCTTGTTGTTTCATCGCAAAGATCTCAACCCCTTCTTCAGAAAGCCTATGCAGCTCCAAAGTCTGACCTCCAGGCATTTATCCAAAATTGTTCCCACCTTGTACACTCTTACTATACCCTATAATTTACTTTTGTGCATCCTGCACATAAAATTTACATGTTAGTCTGTAATTACAAGTTTAATATTAGTAGCGTGCATCAGATTTTAAGCTCCATTTAACTAGTAGCTGTGATTCTTTGCTTGATCTTTTTTTTTTTTTTTTTTTTGCCAAACTCCTTGCAAGCACGTAGTGATCAGGACCTATGTATTCATCATTCAAACAAAAGAGCAATGTATTAAGATCAAGCTTGCTCTCCACACTAGTTGTGTTATTTGTATTGGTTTAATTGAAGTCCTGTAACTCCCTAAGCTTTTGAGTACCTCCTCCTTTGATTCAATTCTGCTATCAGCCTCACGAGTATTGCCTTGGTGATGGTCCCTGACCCTGAAGAGTTGGCCTCTCTGATAAACCATCAAGAATCCAGGGGTCATAAAACAAAGAGAGCTTCAGCAATCACCACAGCACTTCTCTACCTCCGGGCAGGATTTACGTCTAAGCCATCGAGGTTGAACAGTACCTTCTTTATTTAAACTCTCTCCAAAAAAACTGGATAGTAGGCAACCCAGACCA